TCCAGGACAACATTACCAGTCCTGGCTCTCTTAAACTGGCCTCTCCTTCCTGCCTCCCTAGTTTCCCCAGGAGAAAACTCTTGAAATTCCAGCTTACATGATTCCTTCCTCTAGTACACTCCCAAGTCTGCAATCCCCTCCTCAGCCAGTCATTAAGTCCATCGAATCCTCTTGTTAACCCTTCCTGGAATCTTAGTCCATGCAAATAGCATCCCTTAGATTTTTGGTTTCTGATGTCCTCAGAGAACTCCCACATCCTGAACTTCCCACAAGGCAGACATGATTCTGATTCTTTCTGATTGAATGCTGGTGGGAAGATGAGGAAAAAGGAGAGTCTAAAGTATACTAGAAGAGAATGAATTTGTATTAAGGACTCAAACAAAGATAAAGGTTAGAGAATATGACCAAAAGACTTTAGTTCTTAAAAGATAATTTAAATTAGAGGCATCACTTAAAATATAAATTGAGCATGATCCCTTCTAGCTCCATCCATGTTGCTGCAAACTGCATGTGTTTATTTTTTTTTTGATTGCTGAGTAGTATTCCATTGTGTATGTACCACATCTTCTTGATCCAGTCCTCTATTTTTGGGCATTTGGGTTATTTCCATAGCTTAGCTATTGTAAATAGTTCTGATATGAACATAGGCATACAGGTGCCCTTTAGAATTAATGTTTCTGCATCATTTGGGTAAATACCTAGGAGTGGAATTGCTGGATCATATGGAAAGTCTATGTTTAGTAGGTCAAGAAATCTCCACACAGCTCTCCATAGTGGTTGGACCCGAATGGTCTCACTCATAGCAGGAATTTAGAAATCTTAAATAAGAGACCAGGAAAAAGACTAATCAATACAAAGTAAAAATCAAAATCAATAAGCAAGTATAAACCAGAGACACACTATGGGGGTGGGGGGAGAGAGGGGCGGGGAGAGGAAGGATTAGAGTCAAAATAAGGGAAGGGGTGCAATTGTATGGGGAATATAACCATAATGAAAATGTATACATTGTGCAAAGATGAAAAATGATGTAAGAATTATATAAAATAAAATATTAAAAAAAATTAAAAAGTAAAACAAAATAAAATAAAATATAAATTGAATCCAAGAGTGATTTTGACTTTTGGTCCCTGGCTAATGAACCTGGCAACCAATATGTTACAGTTTAAAATAATTAGAAAGTCAAATGGTTTCTCAGTAAATGAAGATATCTTGGCCCATTACTTGCCGCACTGAGTACATTAATCTCTGTTAAGGACTCAGCTCTCCTATTTTCTACTGTGATCTAAAGAAATTTTAGAGTTCTCTATAGATATGAAATTTATTTTAAAAAGGTACAAATTAACTTGCAAAACTATAACATAAACTGCAATCATAAGGCCTTAATAGGTTGCTCTTTTTTCCACTGCTCTTTTTTCTTTTTAAAGATTTATTTATTTATGCATACAAGAGCTGGGGTACAGGTCAGAGGTACGGGGGGGGTGTGCTGAGAAGATCCACCAGAGACAGAGTGGGGAACAGAATAGGCAGATTGACTGAGGTACACTGCTGAGGGGAACAGCAGATGAGTCAGCAGAGGTCTGCTGCACCATGTGGGTAGCTCCCTGGCCAGCCTGGGGATTGAATTCATGCTGCAGAGGCTGCAGATAGCTTCATAGGTTGTCTCTTAACCCCTTGCATCACCAAGGATGCCCTCCACTGTTCTTTTTTCAATTGAGGTAATCACCCTCAAAGCACCCATAGCCCTCCATCATGAGAGACTTTCTCCCTTTTTCTTCCATCTGCTACCTAGTAGCCTCAGTTCTGCAGTAAAATTTCTAGTATTTATTTTGATTTAGTCTCATCTCTTCCTTTGTTTCTTTATATTCTACATATGAATAAAATCATCTGGAATTTGTCTTCTACTGACTTATTTCACTAAGTATAATCCCATCCAGTCTTATTCATACTGTCACAAATGGCAAGATTTCATTTCCGGGCCTACCCGGTGGCGCAGCGGTTGAGCGCTGGGTTGCGAAGCTGCCTGCGGCCTCTGCGGCACCAGTTCGATCCCCGGCTGCTCCCCGGCCACAGGAGGAGGGTCCCACATGGCGCGCAGACCTCTCCTGCCGCCCGCTGCTCCCCTCAGCAGTGTACTTCGGTCCTTCTGCCTACTCTGCTCCCCACTCTGGCTCTGGTGAATTCTCTCACCCTCCTGCGCTTCCGACTGTACCCAGTGCATGTATAAACAAAACAAACAAACAAATATAATAAATAAATAAATAAATAAAACCATGCCTCTATAAAAAAAAAAAAAAACTAAAAAAAAAAAAAAAAGATTTCATTTCCTTTTATAATTAAGCAGTGTTTCATTGTGTGTATATATATATATATACATACATACATGCATATATACATATATATATATATATATACACACACACACACACCATATCTTATCATTCCTAGGAGTGGAATTTGTGGTTTGTATGGTAGATCTATTTTTATTATTATTTTTTATTTTTTAAAGATTTATTTATTTTATATAAGAACCGTGGTACAGGCCAGATGTGCGGGAGGGTGAGAAGATTCAACAGAGACAGAGCAGGGAACAGAACAGGCGGACCAACGAAATACACTGCTGAGGGGAGCAGCAGGCAAGGCAGGGAAAGTCTGTGCGCCATGTGGGACCCTCGCTGGCAGGCAGGCAGGATCCAACCAGCGCTGTGGAGGCTGCCGACAGCACTCAACTGCCTGTGCCACCGGGGGAGGCCCTTGTTATTAAGAAAAGAAGAAATATTTATACAAGACCCAGGGTGCAGCGCCTCCCTGGTGGCTCAGCGGTTGAGCGCTGGGCTGTGAAGCTGCTGCCCGCAGCCTCTGAAGTGCCGGTTTGATCCCTGGCTACCGGGGGAGGGTCCCACATGGAGCTCAGGCCTCTCCTGCCGCCCGCTGCTCCCCTCAGCAGCGTATTTCGTCGGTCTACCTGTTCTGCTTTCCGCTCTGGCTCTGGTGAATTCTCTCACCCTCCCGCGCTTCTGACTGTACCCAGTGCTTGTATAAATACATAAATAAATCATTAGGGAAAAAAAAAAAGAACCAGGGTACGGGACAGATGTGTGGGAGGGTGAGAGGACTCACCAGAGAGAGTAGGAAAAGAACAGGCAGACTGGCTGAAATACACTGAGGAGGGGAGCAGTGGGCCTGACAGGAGAGCTCTGCCATGCCCCTGCTGGTTGAGATCCCTGCTGGTTGAGTTTCTTCCCTGCTGGTTGAGATCCAACCTGCACTGCAGAGGCTGCAGACAGCTTCACAGCACTGCGCTCAACCGCTTGTGCCACCAGGGAGGCCCAGACCTATTTTTATTGCGTTAAGAAACCTCTGTAGGGCCTCCCCTGGTGGCACAGTGCTTGAGCGCTGGGTTGTGAAGCTGCCGGCAGCCTCCGCAGCGCAGGTTCCTTCCCCTGCCGCTGGGCGAGGGGCCCACATGGCGACAGACCTCTCCTGCCACCCGCTGCTCCCCTCAGCAGTATATTTCGTCAGTCTGCCTGTTGTGTTCCCCGCTCTGGCTCTGGTGAAATCGCTCACCCACCAGTGCTTCTGACTGCACCCAGTGCTTGTATAAATAAAATAATAATAAAAAAAATGCTTAAAAAAAATGGAAACCTCTGTAGTGTTTTCCGTAGTGACTGAACCAGTCTACATTCCCCAATAATAGTACAGAGCCCTTTTTCCTCCATATTCTCTCCATTATTGTTGTTTCTGGTATTTTTGTTAAGAGCCATTCTTAGAGGTATGAAGTAGATCTTATTGTGGTTTTGATTTGTTTTTTCCTGAACATAAGTGATATGACATTTTTTTTTTTTTTTCATGTGTCTGTTGGCCATCTGTATGTCTTCTTTGGAGAAGTGTCTGTTCAGATCCTCTGCCCATTTCTTGATTGTCCATTTTGTTTTCTTACTGTTGAGCCATATGAGTTTTTGGCCTATTTTGGATATTAGCCCTTTATCACATCTATGGTATGCAAATATTTTCTCCTTATAAGGTGGTTTCTTATTTTACTGTTAGTTTATTTCTCTTACAGAAGCTTTTTAGTTTGAGACAACCCCATTTGTTTTCTTTTTTCTTTTATATATCTTGCTGTTGGAGTCCTTTCCTCAAAGAGATCACTGAACCTATCTATGGAGTGTTTTGCCTATATATATATATATATATATATATATTTTTTTTTTTTTGTATTTTATGGTTTCAGGTCTTATATCCAAATCTTTTATCTATTTTTATTATGAATTAAATTTTTATATACAGTGTGAGCTAATGGCTAGTTTCCTTCTTTTTATATGTGGCTGTCCAATTTTCCCAATACCATTTTTTGAAGTTACTTTCCTTTCTCCGGTGTAAACTCTTGGCTCCTTTGTCATAGATTTACTATGAGTTTATTTATAGGCTCTCAATCCTATTCCAATCATTTGGGTGACTATTTTTATTCTAATACCATAGAGTTTTGATTACTATAGTTTTATAGTATAGTTTCAAATCTGGGACTGTAATACCTCTATTTTCTTTTTTATCAGAATTGCATTGGATGCTTGGGGTCTTTGGTGGGCCTAATAAATTTCAGTAATGTTTGCTCTACTTTTTTGAAGAATGTCATTGAAAATTTGATAGGGATTATATTGAATCTGTATATTTCATTGTTGTTATCTAGCTATTGTATTTGGGAGATGTTCCTGGGTATCAACATTAAGTTTTAATGACGTGTGTAGTCTTTAATTTGATCTTTACAAACAACAAAATTTGAATGAATGTGAATAAAGCATGCAAATTTATAAATAGTCTCTCTTCTGGCATATTTGATCAGAAATGTCAATAAATAAAATTGTACTTTCTGAGCATTCCAGGTGTGAATACTAATATGTGATTTTTAATTTAATGTTCTATTAGAGGACTCCAGAAAGATATGTACAATTTGGACATCTGTAGAGTTCCTTAGAGTGAAACCAGATACACACACAATTCAGGAAATAAAAATTTTAATGTATATATTAAAATGCTGTTTATATACATGGTCAGAATGATTTTTTACATAGAAAGCCAAGTTATCTGAATTACTACACACAACACTATTTGATCTTTTCCCTGTGTCTCCTTCCACTCTGACTCATACATCAGCTAGTACTTCCAGTAGTAAAATTGATCCTTACCACAGAATACACATTTCTACTCCTTTTTTCCAAACAGTCTAAAACCACTAAACAAAGTAGCAGAGTTTCACCCAACACTAAGCAGCTGTCATCAATAGGATGATGACAAAGACCAAGCCACAACCCAAAGCAACAGTTCTTGTAGTTCTAATGCTGTCTCTGTCCTCATGCTTTCTTTCACCATCACAAGTTAGAAGCCAATTCTGGAGGAGTGCAGCCCCTCGCCTGGTCTTTCTGATCTACTAGTTGGGCTGTTTATCTAGATGGGAAAAGGGGTGAAGGTAGACCTAAGGGAAATGGGTCTGTGATGCTATTTATTTTAAAGATTTATTTATTTGTGCATACAAGAAATCGGGTATATAAACTAGAAGGGTGTGTGTGTGTGTGTGTGAAAGGAGTCACCAGAGAGTGGGGAGCAGAATAGGCAGATCACGGAAATACACTGCTAGGGGGAGCAGTGAGCCAGACGAGACAGGAGAGGTCTGCTGCACCATGTGGGTTAGCTTCCTGGCCAGTCTGGGTTTGAACTCCTGCTGCAGTGGTTGGTGATAGTTTGATAACACTGAGACTTAAGCCCTGTGCCACCAGCAAGGCCCTCTGTGATGCTATTTATTTTAGGACCCAAGGAAGACAGTGGTTGTAAACTCTCTTAAGGGAGGGAAATCAAGGAGAACATATTTCTTTAAGAAGCTAATGAGGGAAAAAATTGTCCAACACAGAAGCAACATCAGTAACTGAGCAACCAAACCCAAGTCTTACCTCCCTCCTCCTGGGCCATTTTTGGGATGGGCAGTGGAGTCTGCCCTCTGGGACTAATATTGGTGCTCATTCAAACTTCAGCAAACAAGTCCTTGAATTCCTTCACACCTGTCATTTCTAACAGCTTTGTGGGTTTGTGAAAGTAAGTTTGGAACACTGTACACCTTATAAAACTGCAATTGAGTACTAAATAATGGAGTAGTTTTGTTCAAAAGCAATATTTATTTTCATGAAGATAAGAGGCATATTACATTTGCTATTGAAAATGCTACGAGAGGAAAAAGCTGCACGTTACCGATATGACAAAAACATAAAAAAATGCCACTTATGAAAGTGTTCTGCCCTATAAGAACATATTGAATGAAAGGCATTATTCCAGGTGAGTGAGCCATGCAGAAATGTGGATTTATTAGGGTTTGTTTTGAAATGTAATTTGTACAGCGAGCTTCTTATTCCTTTGATGGCAATGAAACAGATTTATTAGCTACATGTTGGAAGCGCAATAGATAACAGATAACCAAGGGACAAGTTTTAATAAAACCTTCAGGAAAGAAAAAAAGAAAAGTGAGTGAATATGCCTGCTTACATTTCAGCTAATAAATAAAAAGTAGAGGCAAGGCTTTAACTGAAAACTATCCTGCTTATTGCAGGCAGGAAGATTTATTGAAAATTGGGTAGAAAACTCTAATTTTTTACACTTAAAAGTCACGACATGAGTTGAAAAAGCTAGTATGATGTAACATAGTTTGATTTAGGTTCAGGAAGCTGATGTTTTCATAGAAATCTTGCAAAGTGGACGCAACGGGAAGAGAATCTCTGGGTTACTGGAATGTCTGCCTCTGCTACTTCTGGTTGAGCTCTAGGATCTTGGATGACTGAACATGAGAATATTCAGTTTTACCACTCAACACTAGAGGTAAAACAGTGAGTGCTTCTAGGGATTTTTTTTTTAAGACTTTTTTTAAGATTTATTTTTATTTATTTATACAAGCACTGGATACAGTCAGAAGAGTGGGAGGGTGAGAGAAGCACACTGCTGAGGGGAGAAGCGGGCAGGAGAGGTCTTCGCGCCATGTGGGACCCTCCTCGGGTGGCCGGGGAGCAGGCGGGGATCGAACCGGCGCTGCAGAGGGTGCGGGCAGCTTCGCAACCCAGCGCTCAACTGCTGCGCCACCAGGGAGGCCTGCTTCTAGGGATGTTTTGAAGGTACATTTCAATAAGCTTTGGCTTTCATCTCAAGGAGCTGAGAAGGATGAGCTAGAAGGATAGTTGAGGACTTGGTCCTGAGGGCACCCTGTGCTTAGACACCCAAGTCTTTTTAGGCCACTCAAATGTCATCAGAACTTAAGTGCTTGTCATGTACCCTCACCCAAACAAGCTGTAGTTAGTAAGAGCCTAGACTAAACAAGAAATCTTCTCTCCTCTTTTCTTTCAAGGCAGGGAGAAAATGTAGTTCTTTCTGAGCTGCCTATGAGCAATCTTGATTTCAGCTTTGCTCTCCTAAGAGTCCTGCTTTGAAGAATGATGAATCACTTCCAACTAGAATCTGTCTCCTTTAAAATAGACATCTAGGAATCAGGGAGGAAAATTTATTCTAAACACCAGTAATAACCACCATTACAAAAACAGTTTTGTAACTTAGAGCAGGGTCAAACATGTGTTCCCCAATTTGCAGCATGTTTTTTTTTTTTTTAGAACAAGGTCTGCAGCTTTTGAAAGAACCAGAGACCCCAGATCTGACTTCATGCAGTTCAGAAATAGGAATTCAGAATGGTGAGTAAGTATATGACTAGAGATTTACATCAATAAAATTGTATTGTTTCAATATACACAAAAGTTTTTAGGCTATAAATAATCCATGATGGCCTGCCAAATACAAAATGCCATTGTAAATCCATGCCTGTCTAGTGAAGAGACAGGAAAACAAAAGCAAGATGCATAAAATTAATTGGCACAGTTTGGAAAGTTTGAATTTGTTATTAAATGTGGATCTTATTAGCGATTCTACTCAGTTTCTGGTTATGTTGATACTCACTTTTTTGACTTTCAACTGCTCAATCTTTCAATGACACCATGCTCACAGGCTTTTCCCGAGCCCCATGCCACTCTCCAAAGGATTTATTTTGGAAAGCAAACAATTCAAAATTCTGCTACAGCTTACAAATTGCCTCTTGTAGGAATATAACAATAAAATTTCTGAGAAATTATTTCGAGACAGGTGTTAAATGAATTAGCATGCCTCAGCAAAAATCATATAAGGAAGACAATTTCTCAAGCACCTATATTATTATGGCAAACTTTTGGTGACAGGTAATTATGGTCCACATAGGTAAGTACGTAGTATATCTCATGGAAAAATGCTTAGGTTTTGCCTTTTCCCCAAAAACCTTTTTTATAATCAATTCAGATGCATACAGAAGAAAAACTTATCTATTGGTTTTTAATAGACATTTCTTTCTTTGAGAGAGCAAGATCCAAAATTATGTTGTGTTTCAAAAGTAAAACATAAACAAATTCCTCTTCCCAATCCTCTAAAGACATATTTTCTGTATTTAATATATCCCTTATTTTGTCAAAAGATTTTAAGGGTCTACATAACTTACCCATATGTAAGCTTTGGTGTACCTGGTTATATATATGGAATAAACCATTTGATCTATGTACACATAGACAAGGATATGCATATATTTATACACATACCCTCAGCCACTATTATTAAATGCAATCCTATATTCTTGGATATAGAAGTTGGTGATATATCTTTCTACTTGCCCTGGCACTAACAAAGCTAGTTGGCACTCAGCAACACTTGTATTCATTACTCCGCAGGCTAGTAGTAAGTTCGGCTGCTGGTGAGGAAAGGGTCTCTTACAACACCCTCCTTTAAACTAACATTTTGTTCATGCTTAATATGAGTGTGTGCACATTCTTTTATCGAGGGGGTCTTGAGCTGCAGATACAATCGCACCGTTCATGGTGATCCAGCTGGATGTCAATGAGAGCCATGTACTTATTCGTTCTGCCCCTCCTCTTGAAATGGCCAGGCTCAAACTTTAGCACCTGGAACAAGAAGCATATTTGTGTTAGAAAGCCCTTGGACTTTGACTCAACCTAATGATATTTTTTCTCTTTATGACAACTGATTAGTAATCCTTTGAGCACATCCTAATCCAATGCCTCTCTGACATACATGCAATTGCTTTTGTCGCAGAGGTGTACTGGGCATCAGATGTGAACTGGTATGGGGACCCGATACACTGTGTTGGGTATATTTTGGTCCTCGGTGAAGGCTGAACATGACAAAATCTTGCTTTCATGCCTGCATAACTTTGCATGGCATCACTACAATTCCTCACAAAGGATTCCATTCTTAGAATTTTCTCATCCTCACATTACATGTTTCAAGTCACAAATAAACCCAAACTGTCCCCAAGGAAATACAGACATGGAATCCCTAGCACTGACGCATCATCGGCTATTTACACTGACATCTAGCCATTACTCCCTGGGGGTGCAGGGGGTAACCCCTTGGGAGCTCTGCATTCCTTCAGTGGAGTCCAGCTTGGGAGCCTGCTGTGCTGACAAAGAGCAGAGCATGGAGTCCCATTCGGAGAAAAGTCTCCAGAGAACACTTGGGAGCACAAAACTGTGAAATAAAGGAACACCTTAGAGAGTTCAGGAAGTAATCACAAGGATTCTAAAGCTACAAAGATATTGGCAAAGCTGTTCCAAATACCAGTTTTTTTTTTTTTTATAGAGGCATGTTTTTATTTATTTATTTATTATATTTGTTTGTTTTTTGTTTATACATGCACTGGGTACAGTCAGAAGCACGGGAGGGTGAGAGAATTCACCAGAGCCAGAGCGGGGAGCAGAGCAGGCAGAAGGGCTGAAGTACACTGCTGAGGGGAGCAGCGGGTGGCAGGAGAGGTCTGCGCACCATGTGGGATCCTCCTCCGGTGGCCGGGGAGCAGCCGGGGATCGAACCGGCGCCGCAGAGGCCGCGGGCAGCTTCGCAACCCAGCGCTCAACCGCTGCGCCACCGGGGAGGCCCCCAAATACCAGTTTTGATAACTAATTATACTGTCATCTTTTTCTCTTCTACTTTTACTCATTTACAATATAGATCACACAATTTCACCTTTTATTATGCATGTTCTCTTGTAATTGGATTATAAATGCCTGGAAGGCAAGGATAGTAAAACAATTGCTAGCATTGTTGAGCATTAAACCAGCCGCCACACACTGTGGTGGTGACTTTGCAAAAATGAAATTATTTGGGCTTCACTGCAACACCTTGATATGCTACTAGGGGATTTCATAATTTTGTTCATATATAAGGAAAAAGGAAGATCGAATTACTTGCACAAGGTCACAAAGCTAGTAATTGGTAGCTTCAGAAGTTGACTCCATATGACTGAGCTCATGCCCTAACATCTGTGTATAGCTCAGCAGCACGTTGGGAACATAGCAGTTGCTAAAGAAATGCATCCCAGTGACTGGTGGGTAATGTCTACAATAAGGAAGCATGAGTGGATATTGACACTTTCTTCTTTTTACCTCTGTAGGGAAGCATATATATGCTACTCCAAAATAAGTCTTTTTGGCAAGAGGTTATTTCATGGAGGGATTCTGAAGGTTGGGTGAAGGTTGCTCTTGCTATTTATATATAAACTTCCCTGTGGAAGGGCCCCTTCTGAAAAGACCTAATTTCCTTATTTCTCTTCAATAGAAAAGGCAGATATCAATTCTGCACATCCTGCCTACTGTATCTTTCCTAACTGACCTTCCTATTCTCCCCCTAACCTCCTCTGTCTTAGCCAAGCTATTTAAGATGGTAAAGTGACATGGGGGAGTTCCTCCCAGGCATATAGGAGGTGTATATGTCATCATTAAACTTGTTTTTAATTTTGTCTCTTATCAATCTGTGTGAAGCTTGTTTGATTGCTTGCCACTCTGGAAGAATCCAGGGGGTACAAGATGATTTCCTGTGCACCTGAAACCCCCTCCCTGTGTTTCTCTCTCCCACCTCCAACAATCACAAAGCAAAATGAGACAGGAAATCAAACACAGGCCAAAATAAAGTGACTCATCTTCAGACCACTTCTAATCCTCTCACATTTCTGAACAACAAAATAGCAAAAGCAGAGTTAAAATGACATTTGTCTTTCTTTGCTCCCAGGTCCTTTCCTGCGAGGTATCCATAAATAATAAAAGACATGTCTCCATGAAAAAATAAACAAAAATAAAGCAATGCTTGGGGAACATGCCATATTTTGGGATATTCTGATAGATACAAATGTCTTCCTGTGTTACATTTGGTCAGTGTTTTGAAAGGGGTTGGGCCTGGACTCCTAAAGCTTCACCAAGAATTTCTCCAAGATGAATTTGACTCTATTATCCAAAACTATCTGCACGTAAACCAGGCTTCGGCGGGTGTGTTTGTGTGTGTGTGTGAGACAGAAATAGGAGATGGAAATGATTCCTAAGAAGCTGAGTATATGATAAATATTCTCTGCTTAAAGAAGACTGTTATCAAAGCCTAATAAGTTGTGATGACTGGCACCTGTTAAATCTGTGCTGTTGATTGATGTGCTTTCTCACTTGATGGCAAACAAAAATGTGTGCTTTGAGATGAGGGCTGAGCCTGGGCATTTTTTTCACATTGGTTTCCTGATTGTTCATGGATTTTCCCTGTATTTCATATTAAGCAATGTGAGGACAGTTTATATGTGTTTTGCTGATAAGGGGAGAAAATGAACTGGCGGACATTTTCCCAGACAAGACAGGAAAGGGCTGTTTGAAGAAAGTAGAACCTGGACTGCTTTTCTGGCTGATCACAGTACTGATGTTTAAAAGCTTTCAGACCATGTAATAGTCTTAGAATCAGGTACACAGCATAGAACGGAGGAAGAAAGCAAAGCTGATTCAAGGGAGCATGGAAAGCAAAACGAAAAATGAAGAGCGTTTATCTGAGAAAGCAAACTGGCTGAGTTATCTTGTCACCTTTAAGGGGAAGGAACCATTGAATTATGACTCTGCTGAAGGACACTGGCTAACAGGTACCATCACAAAATGCTTTCCTATTTTCTGAGCCATCACTCCAGGCAGCACACATTGAAATACAAGTTCATGGAGGAGCAGTCGGCCATGGCTTATCACCTATGAGTGAAAATGGAAATTCTGACTCATGTCCACTACCTGAAAAATCACACGAAGCCAGGCTAAGTCGACTTTTAGTAAATGCAGAATGACTGAGTCTAATGGAGGTTTTCACACCGTGACAAAAAATCAAAGATGCTCACTTTGCAAATAGCTAGCTCACAACAAATATTTAACTACAGCGCTGTGCCTTGTTGCTAATAAAGCACTGAATGAATCATTGCATAAAGCTGTTCCACTAATAAAACAATACCAGGCAGAAAAACTATCTGCTGAGTTGGGCACTTGTTTATTGGGAATATAAAAAAGGTTGTTATGGCCTTGTAACAGTTCCCAAATGAATAGCTGACATAGGTACCTGAGTACATATTTCAGGACAAATGCATTATATAAACTTGAATCATTAAAGAGTTTATTTAAGGTTCTACCCAACTTCTAAATCAAGCAGCATTCACTACACAGATAGTTTCTTTTTCTTTTTTTCTTTGATTTTTATATTCCCTATACGATTGCAATCCCCTTATTTTGACCCCAATCCCTCCTTTCCCTGCCCACCCCCATAGTGTGTCTCTGGTTCATAGTTGTTTGTTGATTTTGATTTTTTCTTTCTTTAATTATTCTTTTTCTGGTCCTTTATTTAGGTTTTCTAGATTCCTGCTATGAGTGAGAACATCCGATATTTTTCTTTTTTTTTCCTGGCCTATTTCGCTGAGCATGATCCCTTCCAGCTCCATCCATGTTGCTGCAAATTGCATGAGTTTATCTTTTTTGATTGCTGAGTAATATTCCATGGTGTATATGTACCACATCTTCTTGATCCAGTCATCTATTTTTGGGCATTTGGGTTATTTCCAAAGCTTAGCTATTGTAAATAGTGCTGCTATACACATGGGGTGCAGGTGCCCTTTTGAATTAATGTTTCTGTGTCCTTTGGGTAAATACTAGGATACAGAGATAGTTTCTTTTTTTTTTTTAAATATTTATTTATTTATAAGCACTGGGTACAGTCAGAAATGCGGGAGGGTGATAGAATTCACCAGAGCCAGAGTGGGGAGCAGAACAGGCAGAGTGACGAAGTACACTGCTGAGTGGAGCAGTGGGGGGCAGGAGAGGTCTGCGCGCCGTGCGGGACCCTCCTCCAGTGGCGGGGGAGCAGCCGGGGAGCAGCCGGGGAGCGAACCGGTGCTGCAGAGTCTGTGGGCAGCTTTGCAAGCCAGAGCTCAACCGCTGCGCCACTGGGGAGGCCCACACAGATAGTTTCTTAAGGAAGAAAATGCCTCATATTTTTGTTCCATTTTGATTCCTTTCAGGAGGATAGATGTTATGATAAATGTGCATAGACTTAAGATTTTTAAGGGCAGGTAGTCAATTTTTCTGTAACTTAAATCGCTACAAGCAAAACTACTTTGAGATGGGTTCAGATATTATTTTCTACCTGGATCATTGCTAAATTTGCAGAAAATGGTGGTTGCAGAGGCTGGGCTCTGTCACGGAAGTGCTGGGGCGAGATCACAATCCGTGACAAGACACAGTGGTTGAAGAGTTCAGCAACGTTTCACTGATAAGTTATGTGTGAGGTTGACTAAAGGCTGAGCTTTTAGGGAGAATCTGGCTATAAAACTGTTAGGGATTTTGAAAATGCATTTTGGTATCATGACCAGTTCCTCTAACACAAGTTTACCATGAGTGCTCTGGGGTTCCTACAGGATGCATTAAACTACAGTCCTACGTTTACAGGACTAAAGGATCAAATGATTTCAATAGCAGCCTAGAGGATAGAGGACTGCATTTTCTGCCTACCCACTGCAGAGAACAGAATGGAAACCTAGCTGGGCACAGAACTTCAGATAATGGTGCCAGCACTGGGCGTCACTCAGGATGCAGATACCTGTTGCCAACCTGAGGTATCATTCCCTAAGACAGGTCTGCTAAACTTTGGCAGGAAGGTCTAGATAGAGAAGGGAAGCATTTCTAGTCCCTACATAAGACTACATTCACAGGTCAATGAGTCATCAGCGCTGGAAGTCATAGCTGAGCAAGCCAGACCCCACCATATTTGTCCTGTACCTTATAGTCTGCAGAAGCTTCTCTTCACTCAGTGAACAGCACGGGGGTCATTACCCATGAGTGAGTCAACTTTTCATAAGCATTCTCTAAACATTCACGGTTCCAGGTCACATCTCCCTTCTCCATTTACCTAGCATGCCACCAATTTGTTTATATGCCTAATACAATTTCAGGGAGCTGAGACTCTGGGGGTACAGTGTAACAGTTAATGGATGTCATGGAATTTCAGGTTTGTCTGGGAACCAAAAATTATATGTTCTTGTGAATAACCTATAAGGATTGAGTGAAGAAACCTGGGGGGAATTTGGTAGAAAATCCACACAGTCTCTCTTCTACTTGAGTCATTTCCCCCCTGTTGTCCTGTTTCTCATAAGAATATGCAAGAAAGTGTGGCAGGAGAGGTCTCTACAATATCCCTCAAACAGTGAGAGAGGGAAAGAAATGGGGAACCTGTACAAGTTGTAGAAATGCTATTTCCAGGAAAAGAATAGAAAAAATATTTTCTTGACTTTGGTTATGTGACCACATTATAAAATTTTCTGGGCCCCCTCTTGGCACAGCAGGTAAGAGAGCAAAGGCACCTGCATGGACTCTTACTTCAGTAAGAAGCTCAACATTTATACCCCTAAGGAACCTTTGTTTCACGTATAAATATCTACTTATATCTCTTACTCTTAAACGGTAATACATAGCATAATTTTACTATATTAAGTTCCAGATAAAAATTTTAAAAAGCCTCTATGGTAATTTTTTCATCTTCCCAGAGACAGGAATGATTCAATGTTGTATATGTGCCAGAACAGAGATGGGCTAGGCTGGCACTGTTCAATCTGGTAACCACTAGCCATGTATTACAACTGATATTTAAATTAGTCAAAATTAAATTGAATTAATAGTGTAGTTTCTCCTTTGCATCACACACATTTAGAGTGCCCCATGACCACAGGTTGAACTACTATCCTGGATGGTGTAGATGTAGAACATTCTTATCACTGCAGAAAGTTCTAGACACTGCAGGTGGCAATGTCAGCAATGTGACAAAATCATGAGAGTAAAGACAGAGAAAATTAACTTCTTTCTCTCTCCGCTACTCCCTAAAATTTTGGCTGTTGACTGAATAGACATTGCCAGGGCTCCAATAATGAAACCTATTAATCAATTGTTAATTTAAAAAGTCGCCAGAATTCTGGAGAACAGGCTGTTACTTCATTGTGCATTTTCAAGGGAAGATGAAAGCTGAAATAATAGCATTCTCTAATCAGCTACACATTATGATTTTTGGAACCTTTCTTTTAAAAAATCACTACCCAAAGTATCTTTTATATATGCTCTATATTCCAAAAAGCAAGGAATAGTTGTAAGAAAAAAGGTCATAAGCAGGATACCAACAACTTTTGAGAACAGGAATAAAAAATATGGTAACAGTGCTACAAGTGAAGAATGCTCACATTGCTCCAGAGGAAGTCACACAGTCTGAGCAAAGAACAATAATACCAGCTTCATTAGGAGCTTTATAATTTCTCAGATTTTATTTATTATACACTGGGTGCTGAAATATTTGTGGATAGTCACACAAGCCTGTTTTTTTAGGGCTAGTGATCCCCTTTCAGGTGTTCATGTCTCTTAGAAACTAGCTTCGCTTCTCTTCAGTAGCAACCAGGAGCTGGGAAACTGGTCCCTTGTTTCCCTGAGGCAGGAACACAAAGGGATGAGCAGAGATTATGTGATAGTGGTATGGCACAGGAGTTCTGGGGAAGGGTCAAGTAAGGAAACATGTCAAAAGTGAAGCTGTACCCCCAAATTTAGAGTTATGTAAACATATGTAAATCAGGGGCCCCTCTGTTGGTGCAAGGGGTTAAGCACAGCACTGTGAAGCTATTCACAGTCTCTGCAGCATGAGTTCAATTCCCAGCTGGCCAGGGACAAACCCACATGGCGCAACAGACCTCTCCTGTCTCACCCGCTGATCCCCTCAGCAGGGTGTTTCAGTCAGTCTGCCTGTTCTGCTCCCTGCTCTGTCTCTGGTGAATCTGCTCACCCCCTGCATCTCTGGCCTGTACCCCAGCTCTTGCATTCATACACAAATCTTTAAAAAAATTAAAAAAGGTAAACTTTTTATCATTAGCTATTAACTACCAATCCTCTGTGCCTTGCAGAAATTCTAGCTATTATTATCATTGTCAATAAAAATAGTATATAAATAATATTGATAATAATAGAAACACAGAACTAAGTAGAGGATGAGGATTTTTCCCTGATGAGATGGAGCATGAGGAACCCCATTTCTGGGGGTGGAACAAGCCCCTTGTTCCTCCTCAGGGCACCTGCAGAATGATGACAATGACACCTTTTAACATCTCGGGGAAATGTGATGGGTGAGTGCTTGACCAAGCAACTGATGCAGCTTTGGGCCTGTGTCCTGCACTCGGCCGAGTGATTTTGTATAGAGCTGTGCAGATGTCGAGCAATAAAAGTGTTATGACACATGTTTCAAAGAGATGCTTTAGACAGCAGTTTCCAAAAGAGGCCAACATGTTAGTCCCACTCAAGTGACTGAACAGAGAGATGAAACCTTCCCCTTCTAGGTATTCATCTGCAATAGAAATTTACAGGAAACAGCTACTGTGATTGAAAAAGAAAGGAATTAATGGAAGTGCCCTTAGGAGGTCTTATTAACTCCTTGGGAAAGGAAAGAGTCCTTGGGATGTAAGTTTAACCCTACCATTTCCACAATAATCACTTTATTTATATTTTTTAAAAAGATTTATTTATTATGCATACAAGAACTGGGAAAGAGGCCGGAGGCACAGAGGGGGTAAAAGGATTCGCCAGAGACAGAGTGGGGAACAGAACAGGCGGATCTACTGAAATACACTGCTGAGGGGAGCAGTGGGCGAGACAGGAGAGGTCTGCTGTGCCATGTGGGTAGCTCCCTTACCAGCTGGGGATCGAACTCGTGCTGCAGAGGCTGTGGACAATTTCATAGTGCTGCGCTTAACCCCTTGTGCCACCAGGGAGGCCCTCCACAAAAAGCACTTTAAAGAATCAAGCTTTTAAATGCTATATGAGCCCAGGCAAGATGAAAATAAACTGATTACAAATACATCTAAGGACTGAACGTGAATGTCGTTCCTCACCATTACTGTTGCTTAGAGGTTATTTTAACTCTAACCTGATTATTAATTGCATTCTGCCTTGAGGCTCAGGGTTTGACTCAAGCCCATAAAACTCAGGTCTTAAACGTGAAGGCTAGCATCCAATCTGGAGTTCATTGGGTCACCGAAAAACAACACACAATGAACCAGGCAACTGCATTCTCTGGATATGACAACATTTTTCCCCCTTTGGAAACTATGGGGTGGAGTAAGAAATCCTTCTGACTAAGAAAATGCATTTTGCATTGGTCTAAAATAATGTGCTCCCCCACCTAAGGTTAGCCCATGACTTCCTACAATTTCAAGTTGAAAATATCAGCTATGACGTATCTCTTGTCATTTAGAGCTCAGAAGCTGCCTCCTAACTTATTATTCTTGTTTAATTATTTTCAGGACTAAAAAAAGAAAAAAAAATATTTCAGGAGAACCATTTTCCTTTGTTTTGGTGGCTACTGGTACAAAACAACAGTCATTCTTAATAAAGTTTGCTTTATTGCTTAGTTTACAGTTTAAACTTATTTCTGGGTGTTGTCTTACATTTTACAAAATGCCTTTCACGGGCACTATTTTATTTGGTCTCCAGAAGCACCCTGTAAGGGGTTACCTGCTACCCTCTCTCAGTCCCTTTTCACATGTTGAAGACTGAGTGTCATAAACCTGATGCTTTGCAAATGCTCCCAGAAACAGAAAGCAAAGGAGCTGTTGTCCACATTTCTTTTAACACTCAACTCTGTGCTGTATCTTTAAAAACAGAGCACTGTGTTACTGAAGATCTAATGATAAGAACACAGACTTGGTTACCAGTTGATCAGAGTTTAAGTCCTGGCTCTGTAATTTATTGATCATGTCTCAGTGGTCCACTTACTGATCCTCGTAGGCTTCAATTTACTCACCTATAAAAATAAAGTGTAAATAGCACCCCTTCCCTTACAGCACTGTTGAGAAGCTGCTAACTGAGCTAGTAATGACTTCCAATAGGTCTGGGACTCAGTAAAGGCTTGTGTTTGCTATCATTAGTAAACTCTCTCCTTAAAGTTTTACTCTGCTTAGACCTTTATATGTTCTTTTGTTTATTGCTGCATAATTTGAGAGCTGATGTCTCAGGTAGGACTCAATTTTGGAATATATTTTCTAGAAGAAAAATCCTTTCATATTTAGAGTGAAAGAAATCTCCAACAATGTATATTTTCTGATAATGTACATTTTGCTATCTTCACTCTGCTCAGTTTTTTAAATGACTTGATTTAAAGTCTGTCTTTTAGCATTTTCTTAAAGCAACCTGGGTTTTGCAGTCATAGGCTGTATGGGAATACCATCATAATTCTACAAGGAGGTCAAATAAGTGCTGAGATTAATGTATCATACATTTGATTATTCTAACAAGGCTGTTGTGACTCTTAAGTTGTATTACGAGGACTAGAAAAGGAGTCCTTCAGGACAAACTTAGCCCCTTCTATAACACTTGGCTAGACTAAGTTTAACATGAGTATAATTTCACCTGCCAATCATTGCCCTGGCAGGATCCCCATGTGCAGTGAACAACCTGCAACAGCTATGTCTTTCAACATCTTATAGATGACATAATTTTTGCAGCTGAGAGGGGCTAATGAAGCACTGCCATACAGAAATTTGATAATGACATACCTCATGGTACTTTTTCACAGTTTTTCCTGAATTGCACGTGCAGGACTTCCAGTTGACAGTCCCACAGCCACAGTTGCCTCCACAGCGCTGCACGAGGAGACAACGAGGAAAGAAGACCACATTGGTCAGCTTCAGCTCCTCTCTCAAGTTGACCGAGTAATTCCTGGGAGTGCAGCTGTAACGTTTGACATCATCATTGAGCCGGTCCAGGTCAACTGTAAGAAACACACACAGTCTCACAGTCTGTGTGAGTGAACACACAATTATCAGCAAAAATACTCAGCATGTGTTTTGGGGAATGAGGTAGGAAGATTCTTTGAGGTCAACCTTAGCCCAGGTTGATTCTGTCTTGAAATCTCAAGTTATTACCCCAAGCACCAAAGGTATTTAATGCTATTTGCTTTTCAAAAATAAACAACAGAAAAATAAAAACAAAAACCAAAAAAAACACAAAAGAGTTAAATCTATATATTGGCTCAAATTTTCTTGCACTTTTTTTCAATGCAAAATAAATAAATAAAAACCAAAATCTAAGTTCCACAGAAAGAAAATGAAACATTCAGCAATTTAAAATAATTGCCTTTATCTTAAAAAGAAAAAAAAATAAATTGCTTTTTGATTCCAAAAAATCTTGACTCTCATCCATTTCCTAAATAAAATTTGAATTGCATTGGGTTAACATTAGGGACAATCACTCAAACATACTTACCTGGTAATAACTTTTTACAAGTAAATGTGAGAAAGAAAAAGGTTTTTGGCTTCATTTTTACTCCAAGGTGAACTGAAATGTCAAAAGAACCGGGGTTTGGGGATTGTGAATCTGAAGCATCCTTGCAGGCAGGGCAGTACAAGCAGTTATGTGCTTGGCTCTGCAGCAAAGTGCAGCTGCCTTCTTTGGGGTTTGCCTCCATTTAGTTGGAAAGTTATTCAGCAGTTCTGAACCTCTGCTCTTAAGCTACAGAATATGAAGACTTTAACTTCGCCTCTTTATAGCACTCTTTGAAGGACAGATTGTAGTATGCCTAGCATTTAGTTAATGTGGGTTATTATTCATCTTGATTTATTTTTCTTTTTCCTTCATTTTTCTCTTTAAAGTCAAATGGTAGAAAAGCAAAAGAAAAAAAGAATTCAGATCTTTCTCCTCTATTTTTCTTTTTGGCCATTACATTACATAAATGATTACAAGGAGGTATGGTTATTAGCACTTGTATGAGTTAAGAGCATCACTTTAAAATTTTCTCATTTAAGTTAGAAATAGTTACTCAATTAAATGTGTATTATTGTATTACACAGATTACATTTTAATTAGGGTTCTCAAAATGCATCCAATCACTCATCCATTTGTCATCCAAACCTTCTGGTTGGTAGCACAGAGGAGACTCTCTTCTCCCCAAGGACAATTAAAAGCAAGTCTGATGTCTGCACAGGTACCACATCGTTACCTAGTCCCTGTCCCTGTTTCCATCAGCCTGCTCAGGAGGAAACCCATGATGTTAGCAGGTGTCTCTAGGTCTCCCCTGCACTCTAGCGTCTAAATCTCAAATCAAAACTGGTTGAGGCACAGTAAGGAAGATTCCTTTGGAGTAGAGGTCAGGGTTAAGGACACTGTCAAGAGAATGCATCTTAGGGAAATCAGAGGCAAAGACAGCAAGAGTGGGTGAAGAGTCCCTAAATCCCATGAGCCCTGCTGTAAGAATGGCCGTGTGGTCAGGAAGTGGCAGCTGTGTTGCTCTCCTGCCCTAAGACAGGGGCAACTGTCGCTTGATTCTCAAGGGCAGGGATATTTCCCCAACTATTATGTGCTGAGTCCAGGACACTGTGGAAGCTGAATAAATGCTAAATAATTACTGTGCATAATTTATTGCTGTTTTTTTTCCCCTCCTTTATAAAGGCATGCCATAAGTTTAGCTATAATCAATCCAGATTTAAATTGAATGAACTCTGTCTTGAGAAAGGAACCATTTTACTGCTACTAAAGCCCTGAAAATAACTGCAAGCAAAGCAGGAAGGATTACATAAATGGATTAAGAAGTGCAGCAATCATCCATTACAAGTGTCACCTTGAGATAAATACTGATGCCTGCCGGCCTGAGCATTACTGGGCTGGTGGACAGGGCTGCGGCAGAGGGCCAAATCCATTGGTGATAATGGGAATATATTTTGTGCAATACCAAGGAGTAGGAGTTGCTATTGGCAGGACAGGGTTGTGATATAAGGGGAGACAGATGCAGGGGTCGGGGCGGGGAGGAAAGGGCAGATATTACATGTCTCTGGTTCTGCCCTCTGAAAGGCACCTTACACATAGGACTACATTTCATTGTCCCCATGTCCCCACCCTTTTATTTATTTTATTCATCCAAAGTGAATAGTAAGTGAGAAAACTGGAACTGAAGCCCTTCTGCTTTCTGCCCCACAGCCTTGCCACCTCAAGCAGAAAGGGGTTTAGGACGGGCAGTGGGGACCTAAGAGCTGAAAAGAGAAGACTGACCCCTGAGGTTGCGTGGTGCATTTCTGTAGGATACATTGCTAGGGTTGGCGTGGCAGATACCTACATTTTTATCCTCAGGATGGACTAAAATCAACGACAGCATGCCTTCCTCATGGGGCTACGGATAAACCTCAAAGGGCCCTCCACAACACAGGACAGGCACGCGGGGCTTACAAAACTCTCTCCATTGTCTGTTTCACTGCAGAACTCTGGTGACTTATTTCCCGGGCAGCACAAGGAGACTTACAGGGCTTCACGTTGGATGCATTGATTCACTGATGTGCTGACAACCGTGGCCCAGGGTGTCTGCCATGGAATCCAGGGGCCCAGCTTCTTGGGGGATGGAAGCCACCTGGGCACTCGATTTAGAACTAGAATAAAAGGATCTGGACTGGATAAAAGTGCCTTTAGAACACCGTTTCAGACGTTCTGCAGGTAATACTGGGTGTCCTCAGAGAAGACTGATGAGGCAGGGAGCCAGACAGAAGGCAGAGAGGCACTGAAGGCTTCTGGGCTCCCCTGGGTATGAAGGGGGCTCCCCTGTGACCTCTGGGGAAAGAAGCAAGCCAAGCTGCACAAACCTGGGAGACTCACTCTCTCTCCCTGTCTGCTTCAGTCTCCACAGTGGAACATTCTAAAGCAGTAAGGAGATGCCAAATGTAATTCAAAGGCCCTCTAATATCATCTCATTTCCCTCATCCCCTGGGGTACATCTGTTCTAACCTCTCTTTTGCTGATCTTTTGAATTTGAGTGTTTCCTTTTCATAGTTCAACACCATTCATTTTTTTAGGCTCTGTACTGACAATTGTGGAGAGGCTCAGAAGACTTCTCTGTCCTCAAAGGCTTCTTCCAAACAGTTCATACAGTGTGGGGGGCTGCACACTTCTTTCTGCAGCCAGGGCCTCACAGCACAGCTCAGTCACAAAGTCACAAGTTGGGCTGTGCTGAGTTCTGGGAACTGAGTGTGTGTGCGTGTGTGTGTGTTCACAAAACAGTGGATCATGAGTGCCTTCACACCCTGGTTCAGGCCTGAGCTGGAAAAAGAAGAGTCAGCCTGGTATTTTTGTTCCTGGCCATCTATATTCCTAAGTTCAGGCAATGGTGCTTGGTACTTCACATATACAATTGCATGAAATCCTCCTAAATGCTATGAATCACTTCCCATTATTACCCATACTTTCATGGTTGGAAGGGAATTGAGCATCTGAGAGGTTAAGAAAAAGACTCGCCTATAGCCAAACAGCCAGTCTGTGGGACAGCTGGGACATGAACCCAGATTTCTACAGCCACCTGCATGGACAAGCCCCAAAGTGAAGGTTTGCAGGAGGGTGCAAAGAGCAGTTTTCAGAAGCTGTGGTGGAATCTTCTAACTAGAGGAGCAGCCCCTGTCCAAAGAACCTGGGTTCCTGGGTGTGTTGATGGGCACTGACCTTCTTTATCAAGATACTGTCAGTGACCAATGGCCTTGCACACATTCCTGCGCACACATGCTCATTCGCAGGATCTTACAGGAAACATACATGAGGTTCTGGTAATAAACCAGGAACTGCTACAGCCTACTTTCCCCCTTGGTATTGAGCAAATAATGAATTTCATCTTTTTCACTTGAACAAGAGGGTTTTTTTTTTGTTTGTTTTTGTTTTTTTTGTTTTTGCCAATGCACGCTCTTCATTTGTCCTCCTTTCCCCGGGAACTCTTTGTTTTTGTCTTTGTCTTGCCCTCATCTGCCACAGTCTTTCTACCTGTCTGAGTTTCACTGCAGGCATTTTTTAGCGGCACCTTTGTGCAGCCACAAATATTTGTGTTGCCAAACATATGGTCATAAAAGGAGAAAGAACCATCTGATCATTTGGTTTCATTTCTCTGCTTTCCACTTTGATTTCATATTTCTAGTAAGTTTGGTTAGCAAAAAAACAAAAACAAAAACAAAAAAAATGTACAATACTATGAACAAATGAAAGACTTGCAAGACAAATACTCAGTTAAAATCTTCAAAAGAAAATCAGTACTTCGATCAGTATTGCCAGGAATCTACATGGACATGAAAAAAGTCTTCCTAATTTTATTAACATTTCACATTTCAGATGTTCCTCTCTTATTTTGTGTTCTCTTTTCTTTTATGGTAAAATTACTTTATGGCAAGTAAACTATAATGTAAAAAGGTTTACAGCAAAAATGTGGATAAGAGAACTGCTTGATGTGAAGATGCTTGAGGTCCATTATCAAGAAACACCTTTGTCACAAAAACCCACTGGAGGCTTATGTGAAGAGCTGCATGGACTGTTAGTTATGATTAGTCCTCAGTGGAACAAATGCTAGAATCCTCGAAAGTCTTTCTGGACAGCAGATAGAATCAATGGTACATTTCGCTAATTTGGCAAGAATGGTGATGATCAGCTTAAGGTAAAATTCTAGAAGTCTCTCTCCAAATTGATCATTTCAATTTTTTTCATGAATCCAAAAGTCCATTGTGAAATAAAACAATCTTTTTACTTGGAATGAGGGAAAGCAGTGTTTATTCCTGCATGTTTTAGTCACTGCTTATTTGGTTCCACAGGAGGATGATTTCCAAGGGTCATTCTCTGAGTGTCAAGTTTAATGGCTGGCTTTACTGTGCTGCCATCAATTGTCTGTGATAATGTCACTAGCCTTTTTGTCTTGATCTTCCTGAGTCTGCTAGAGTTCCATGAAGCTTTTGCTTATTCCTAGAGACAGCTAGTAATCAT